GCTCAGTGGAGCTAATACTAATCACTGGTCTGCCAAACTAAGTTTTTTTCTCAGTTTTTTTGTTTTTGTGGTGCTGGGGTTTGAACTCAGGGCCTACACCTTAAGCCACTCCACTAGCCCTTTTTTGTGATGGTTTTTTTTGAGATAGGGTCTCACAAACCATTTGCTCAGGCTGGCTTTGAACTGCGATTCTCCTGATCTCTGCCTCCTATGATTACAGGTGTGAGCCACCAGTGCCTGGCTTTTATTCAGTCTCGACATACTATTTATTAAATTAATTTTCATTAAAAGGTTATGAATTTACTTAAAAGTTGAGGGGATATTGTGATTATATAGCAGGCCTCTATGTATGTCTCAGTTTATGCTCTTAACAGGTTTATTTTCTTATGGGTCAAATAGACTTATATAGAACTATAAAATAGATTCAGCAATAATATTGGTATGAAGGAAATAGAGGATGCAAGGTTAATTTTAAATGAAAGGTTCATGGATATAGTGATTTCAGACTTTGAAGGTATCTTTACAACTTTATTAAAGGAGCAGAGTAGGAAGTGTGGGGTAGATTTTAGGGGGTAGCAATGCATCTTGGCCTAAGTGTAAAGATAGAGGAGAGCCAAATAGAAAATCTTGTTCCTGTACAATGAATTTCAGTCTTTTTACTTCTAGGACCACACATGATTCTTAATCAGTAGAATAAGATAAGGTGTATTTTTTAAGAGGATAACTGTTGACAGTTTAAACAAAAGTGAGAATGAAATATTGAGATAATGTAGGAGCTTTGGTACTAGTATGGAAGAGATGAGTAGAGGAGCTAGAACTGTGGAAATGGTGAATTAGAATAAATTAAAAAAATTTAAAGGTAAAGTTAATATGTGATATGGACTGAGGTTGTCATGTGGAGAAACTAAAATGGCAATTTTTGAAGTAATAGCTGTTGAAATAAAATCCTTTTACTTTATCCAAACAGCTTCTATTTTTGATGTCTTTTAGGTGTATTTTATATAATAGTAAACTTAATTTTAAATAATTTCTTTTTGATTGATCTGTTGAGTGTTGCTTTAATACTGAATAAATGGGGTTTGTGTTTTAAATGCAGTTAAAACCTTTTAAGTGGCAAAAATATGAGCATATTTAAAATATTCAAATAAGGACTTATAGATAAAAAGTCTTCCACCTCTAGTTCTCATTTCCATAATGGTAACTAACAGTTTGTTGTGTTTAAATATATATGTATACAGATATCTTATGGTATCTCTCTAAATAGTGTTACTTTTGTAAGAATGGGGTCCCTTATGCAATTTCTCAATAGTTCAGAAATACACAAGGTCCTTCATGGGCCCCAAAGATACAGTCTTTCTGTAGCATATAATAACAAGAAGCAAAAGCATATAAGCTTAAAATATGCTTAGTAATCAATGTTTTATTAATATTAAATATTAGTCAAAGGTTTTAAGTTACCTTAGGGATTTTGGAAATTATCTTCAAATTGATAATACTATAAAGCAAAATTACTGTTGAAATAAAAACTTTGTCAAAACCATCATTCGGTTTAAATAAATCTACATTTCATAATCTTAAACATTGAATTTGATTAATGTTGGTTTATTTGATCAGTAAGCCTATTATAAATTTCAGTAATATGTGCTTTGGTAATGTTAAGCTTGTGTTATGCTTGATATTAATAAAAATAATTAGAGAATAGAGCTGCTTTAATTAAAGCAAAATTACTAAGCTACTTTTGTCTGGCAAAGGTTTACCCTAACTTGGTGAACTCAGTTCTTTAAACCTTGCTAAGTTAGTTTCTATAGGAATACTTTTTAAAATATAAAAGATCAGTTTCTTTATTTTGTGAGAATTTTGATAGTCAATTTATATGTGTGTATTTCTGTAGCTCAATCAGAATGGTACAGCTACTTTAAGAGACTTTTAAATTCAATTTAGTAACACTCTGGAGGTGGGAAAGCATTATGCACTCATAATGAGAGGTTTTTTCTTTCTGAATTATAGACTTGTAGACACTGAGAGAGCTTATAGTTTCCAATTCTATAACTTTAGACATGGATAAAGAGTTAATACTTCAGAAACATAAAGCCTCATATGTTCAAATATTAAATAGGTTTTCTCCTTCCAGGTTAACATGAAATCCTTTGTTGATTTGAGTTTAAAATAGATTGAAAAAAGATAAGTGAACAAGCACCGATGAATCAGACTCTTCTTTCACCCCCCAAAATGGATTTGTGTAAACCACTAATTTGCTTCCAGAGATTACTAACATTAGTCCATAAAATCCAATTCCCAACCATTGTTACCAGCAATGGGGAATAACTTACGACCACAAATAAAAACAAAAAGAAAGCACCAAATTGGTAGAGAGGAAAATTAAAATAGAGTTAGCAAAGTACTGTTACTATGCTTGATTATGTTCTGGAAGACAAGAAAGGACATATCTGGGCTTAAGGTGCCCATGAAGTACACTACGCTAGCAAAGAGAGTTTCCTCATTCTGTCAGGTGAGCACACTGGTATCTTGGTAGGGCCTCCAACCTGTTAAAAGGTAAATTTTAGAAGAGATAAACTCATGACTTATTCAGATACATAGTGGACATATGTTAAATATGTTATTTTTTTGGGAGTTCTGGTGTTTGAACTCAGGGTCTCAGGCAGCCACTCCTCTACTTCAGCAATGCCCTAGACCTTTTTGCTTCAGTTATTTTTAGGATAGGGTCTTTCATTTATGCTAAGGCACACCTGGACTGTGATCCTCCTATTTATGCTTCTCATGTTGCTGGGATGACTGGTGCATGCCACAGCACTCAGCTTTTATTGGTTGAGATGGGAGTCTTTTTTTGCCTGGTCTGTCCTTAAACTGTGATCCTCCCCATCTCTTCTTTTGCATGAGCCACCATGCCAGTCTTAAATATTTTATGTATCTTATAATTATCATCAGTGTCAGAGATTTAAAACTGGTTCAAAGGAGTATGCAAAGAAGAGAGACATTTTATAGATAGGAATAGTGAAGTAATTTTGCAAATAGATGAAAAACTGGCTTCTTCCAAGAAGGTGGAGGGAAGTTAACTGACTCTCTTCTGGGCAGAATTTAATTGTACATCTATAGACAAGAATTGTTTATATTACCATTGTTTTCTGCTAGTTAAAGTTTATCTTCATACAGGTGTAAAATAGTCCAATGACAATTCACATAGGATTAAAGTATCCCCAATATGCTCCAGTTTGAAAGAATAGAGTAGTCTGTGTTGCTATTCAAAGTCTTAAAATTTTCTTAAGGTGAACATTTTTACCTACCTGTATTCCTGTACAATTATTTCCTTGTCATTGATATTTCATTAATCAGGATATCTACTGGATCTGTGATTTGGTCTGTTTTCCTTCCCTTTTGCAGATTTTTTTCTTCTTTATTTTAGAGATATTTTCCATCATATTCCTTGCTGTTTTCTCTTTCATTTGTTTAGTTATTCTACTTAGGAAGTATCAATTATCTTTTTATTCAGTCATTGTTCTACATCTTTTACCTAATTGCTTTGGTACCTATATTTTTCTCCTCAGTACTTTATCTTAAAATTTCTTTCCTTGCTGGCATTTGATTTGCAATCTTTTGTTCTTTTTCTTGCTTCTTTCAAATTCATTGTTGTTAATTCAGTTCCTTAGCTAGACAACCTTTCTTTTTAATTTACCTGTTTTTGTCTTTGATTTTATGAGATGCATATAGGTTTCTCTCTGTTACGTAGCACAGACTTGGGCTTTACATCTTTTCCTTGTTTTATGTTTTTGTTTGGCTGGATTTTTACTTTGTTTTTTTATGCTGTATTCATTATTTGTTTTTCTCCTTTTTTTTCACACCCTTGTTTGTACAGTTGAGGCCATTTCTTATTTTTTTGCTCAGACTTGATATGGATATGTAGGTCAAACTTGGCATTTTTCCTGATACAATCTGGCTGATTTCCTTCTAAAGTCTTTCCCACCTTTGTCTCTTCTTTGACTATACTTCCTCAGCACCTCTTCTGAGAAGTGTGTGTTGTTTCTCTCTGCTTCTCCGTAGTTAAAGGGAGAGCTCTTCTGGGGTGCCAGGCTTCCCTGTCTTCTTAGGCTGTGCTAGCTAGGTGTTTTGTACCAGCCTCACTCCATCCTGCTGAGGGAGTAGTACATTTTCATCGACTTCAGACCTCTTCCTTAATTCAGCATGGTGTCTTGGAAGTTGGTAGATCCTGGTGATTCCTCTGACTTCTGCTAAGGTTTTAAAACTTCTGTTGCTTAGGTATTTGCCTGTATTTTTGTAGGACATGCCAAATCAGATCTTTCTATCCAAATTAGAGGATACTTATTAAAAATTTCAACTTTTATTAGCTTTCATGTCATTCTCATTACTGCCTCTAGGCTAGGAGCCATCCTATATAGAATACAGTCTTTTTTCTGTTCATTATTATTTTGCAGTACTGGGGTTTGAACAGGGTGTCAGGCTTATTAGGCAGTCACTCTTACTGCTTGAGCCACTCCTCCAGCCTGGTGCTATTATATTCTTTACCTACATTCTTCCCGTGACTTTAGTAATTAACATTTTAAATATATATTAACAGTTTCTGTATGGTCATGTGTTTTTTTAAAAAACAAAATTATATGCTCTTATTTTTAATAGAGAATATAACCTAAAATGAAGTAACTATTTTGATTGGAAATTGGAAGGTATACTATAGAAGTTTATTTTTTCATCCAGTCAAATTTGGACTCTAGTTTTATTATTTGGACTTTTCTGTTATCATCCATAGCTCAAATTTATAATAAAAGTATTTATAAAAATGTTACTTTCTTCCAGCATAAAGTTATTGCCTTAATTAGCATATTTGTAATTGTTAAGAATTCTGTAGGAATCATGAATGGCCTTCGGGGTTTTTTTGGCATGTAATTACATAAGTTTATTCTTTCATATATCCCTGTAACTATCCTTATTTAGGAATGTTTAATCTACTTTCTTTTTTTTCTCCTCAGATTTTATCAAATTTTAAGGACAAATGTACTTTATAGCTCATGGAAGAAAAAATACAAATCAAGACATTTTTGGGTTCCAAGTTGCCAAAGTATGGAACAAAATCTGTAAGAAGTACACTTCAGCCAATGCCAAGTGGGACAGCTGTTACTTTATTAGGAACTTCCAAGAGTAGTAACATCAAAAGTTACATCAAAAATAATGGCTCAGATTGTTCATTGTCCCATTCATTTAATTGGAGAAAAACAAATAAATACCAGCTTAGTGCACAAAGTACCGAAGAGCTTAACACTACTCAGAAGTCACATGATAAATTAATTAGTCCTGAAAAACATGCTCCTACTCAAGGAATATTTGATACAAATGGGGTAAAGGGAGGTTTGAAAAGTGTTTCTTTATTTACGTCAAAGTTAGCAAAGCCATCCACTATGTTTGTGTCATCTACAGAGGAATTAAACCAAAAGTCTTTTTCTGGACCATCTAACTTGGCTAAATTCACCAAAGGCACCTTATTAGGAAGGACTTCATATTCTTCAGTCAGTGCTCCAAAATCTCAGTTGAATGGATATTATGGAAATCGATCGACTGGTAGCATGCAAAGGCCCAGAGCAAACTCCTGTGCCACCAGAAGCAGTTCTGGAGAATGCTTAGCACAGTCCCCAGATAATATTAAATCTATTGCTTGTGAAAAAATGGTAAGGTCACAAAGTTTTTCACATTCCATTCAGAATTCATTCCTTCCTCCTTCATCTATAACCAGGTCACATTCCTTCAATAGAGCTGTAGATCTTACAAAGCCTTATCAGAACCAACAGATACCCATTAGAGTGCCTCTTCGGTCAAGAATGCTAGCAAGAAATTCCCGACAGTCAGAAGTACTCAATGGGAATGAACATTTAGACTGTGGATTTAATAGGCCTTATCCTGCTGGTGGAAAGAAGCTGGCTCTACCAAATGGCCCAGGTGTAACTTCTACTTTGGGTTATAGGATGGTTCATCCCTCTCTACTAAAATCCAGCCGACCTTCATTTTCTGGGACCATCACAGTTGATGGTAATAAAAATTCATCCATTGAGACATGTGTAGAGGAAGAGGCTACAGTTTTGGCAAAGGACATTACTACTAATAAGGACCAAGAACTAATTGAAAATGAAAGTTATAGAATAGAAAATGAACAAACCATGAAGCATGATGCTAAAATTAGATACTTGAGTGATGATGTGGATGATATTTCCTTGTCGTCTTTGTCATCCTCTGATAAGAATGATTTAAGTGAAGACTTTAGTGATGATTTTATAGATATAGAAGACTCCAGCAGAACTAGAGTAACACCAGAGGAAATTTCTCTCAAAGAAGAAAAGCATGAAACTGTACCATCAAAGGATGTATTTGATTCCCCTAAGAAAAATGAAAAAGGCTTTAGTAGAACTGATGAATGGACAGATATAAGTGTCTCTGGTAAATATTCATATTCTTAAATTTATTTGCTTTCTCATTGATATTATAAGTGGACTTATACTTAGGACCATTTTTTGATAAATATCAAGATACCATCAATTTCACAGAGGAGACTGGATGTCTTATAAAAGGGACCACCAGAACCAGTGTTTTTCCTTATAAGAAGGCAGCTGTGAAGTTAACTAATGTACACAGAGGAAGGGAGTTTCCTGGACAGTGTTTAAAAGTAAATATTTTTGAAAGTATTAAAGGAATATGATGATATAAGAAATGTTACAGAAGTGAAGGATGGTTTGGTGAATTTTTTTTAACTACAAAATACTTCAGTAGATTATTTTTAAGACTGCCTCTTGATTTTTTAAAATCATTTAGCATTTAGAAAATGCTACAGTTATAAGTGCTAGTTTTGGCCAACTTTTTTTGTACTTAATGTATCAAATTATTCAAGCTTATAGTTTTAGAAATGAGAGTTATATCTTTGTGAATTAACTTTTTTTTCTCTCTCTTTAACTTGCTTGAAGACAGGAGTGATTATACAAAACATACTGCTGGAAATAACTTGATTTCACCAGATGCAGATTATAGAGCTGGTTCTTCATTTGAACTCTCTCCGTCTGATAGCTCTGATGGGACATACATGTGGGATGAAGAAGGCTTGGAACCCATTGGAAATGTGCACCCAGTTGGCAGCTATGAGTCCTCTGAAATGAACAGCATAGTATGTATGGATTTACATTCCACTTTGGAGTATTTTGTTTACCTTTCTACAGAGACTTATGACATGGATTGAAATCATTTTTTTAAATTTATGGATTAACTTTTGTAGTTTTGAGAAATGAAAACTCATTAAAAAGGGACTGTAAAATGTATCATAAGCACAGAGAATATATGATATTTGACTTGAGTATACTTAGACACATATATACACATGTATTCATCATAATACATACATACATACATACATACATATGTACACACTTTATTAATCAGGTTAAGCTAGGCCAGTAGTTCTCAAGAAGGTAGTGGAGGAGGACAACATCTGGAGACATTTTTGGTTGTTGCACTGAGCGTGTCATTTGGTGAGTGGATGCTAGGAATGTTTCTTAACATCCCTCTGTGCACAAAACAAAGAATTAATGCAGCCTGAGATGGTAGTTACGTGCGGTTGAGAAACACCCTGGGCTAGGCTGCTGAGGTACCATTCACACACCAACTCTGAGTGGCTTAGCAGTGTAACAATGACAGCTTTATGTTTTACTCTGAGGAAGTCTGTTGAGGTCTGGATAGTTTTCTATGACAGCTGTCTTTAGTGAACTAAGCTGCTTTGATCTTGGGGAGATTGACCTTTTTTTGAAGTCAGTTATACTGTGGCAGAGGAAGAGGTGCTATAAAGTCTCACTCATGCAGTTACTGTCTTTGACTTGCATGTGGCACTTAGCACCTTCACTAACAACTTACTAACCAGAGCTAATCACATGGACCCACCTGAGTATTAAGGGCACAGGAAGTGTAATTTTCCTACATGCCTTTAAGGCAAGGGAATCGGGTATAGGTAAGTGCTAGAAAACCTACCATGCACTTACATGTGGTTATGCAAGTAATGTGGATAACATGCCATATGAATAAAGTGTAACTGTGTCTTTAAAATGCCTCATTGTTAATTATTTATAAAGTATGATTTCCCGTAAAATAAAATGGGTGGTTTTTATGGATATATTACATTCCAAGTGGATTTCAGGAAATATACTCGTATAAATCCATGATATGGAAAAAGTAGACATTATTATCAGAGGCTTTTAAAGTTGCACAGAGAGGAAACGCATTTAGTTTAGAGAGAGTATCTCCATCTCCTTAGATAAAAGAGGTAAAGATTGTAGTTAGGACTTTGTTTTTTCTTATGAGGCCTATTTTAAGCATGAGTGAAGTGTATATGAACATTGTGTCCAGCAGATGGCAACAATAAGCCACCAGACATCTTCACAGGTTCACTATTTCTGTAACTGACAAAAATGACTTTTAGGAATGCATTTGGATTTACCAGTGGTCCAGATATTCATGAGTTTCCTCCTTGACCAGTACGCTACTGTATAATGGGGTGGGAAACAGTGAAAGTGTTCATTCTGTGCTTTGAACAAGATGGTATCTCTACATCTTTCTCTTCTCATCTAAGGAGAAGATAGTCTAAAAAGGGGTGGAGAATTGATGGAAAGTTGAGAAAAGTGTGTTGGAAGTTATGTCAGTTTTTTGTTTTGAGTATTTAACCTTTTGATAAGTATGTACCTGTGTAGAATTGTTTTCATGGTGAATTATTCTTTGTCATTATTTTTTAGTATTCTTAGGTCTCCTCTATACCTATTTATGCATTTTGCTTAACGTATCTTTTTTCCCTGATATTTATTTATGAATTTTCCTTCCTTCTACAATAAATTTTTGATACTTAATTATGATTATTTTTAAAAATAATCAGTGTGTCTGTTTCACTTTTTACTTGGGGATTGAACTCAGACCCTCACATTTGCTTGATACGTACTCTACCTTTTGAGCCACACCTCAACCCTTTTTTGCTTTAGTTGTTTTTCAGGTAGGCACGTTTTTTGCCCAGGGACAGCCACAGATTATAATCCTTCTGCCTATGGTCTCCTGGGTGGCTGGAATCATAGCTATATACCACTGCACCCAGCTTGTTGATTAAGGTGGGGTCTTTCTCACTTTTTGCCCAGGCTGGCCTTCAACTATGATCCTCTTGATCTCCACCTCCTTAGTGGTTGGGATTATTGACTTGATCCACTGTACCCAGCCGAAGTATTTGTCTTTTATTCAGGGAGTTTAGTTAATTTACATATGCATACATTGAAGTTTATTGAACTTTACTCTGCTGTCTTATTTTATTTAAATTGTCTTCCTTTTTCTGTTTCTCTTTTCATAAAAGTTTTTCCTTTTTTTTTTTTTATATTGTTGTACTGGGGTATATTGTGACATTTACAAAAGTGCTTACAATATATTTTAGTCAATTCACCACCTTCATCATATTATAGTTTGAATTAATAGCTCTAATTTAACCCAAAAAGAACTTTAGCATGTTCTCACTTTCCTTGACTTCTATAACAATGTTAATTCTAGTCCATGTTAAAATAAGAGGATTTCAGTCAAATTTATGTCACAAAGTTACCACTAACAGTTTAGTTCAAATCACTGGTTAACGTTCAACCCACCGGTTAATTTACCTAACGTTGTTCTTATAGCAAGACCCCTTGTGAAGGGAGCATCATGTTGATGTACATTTAGTTCAAGCTCCTTATCTTGTGAAGGACCCCAACAAATAGGACTTGACTAGTTTGTATGACACTGCTAGAATTCTGGCTGTTTATTTCTTTAAATGCTAACAGTATTTTGTTGAGGTATAATTTATACACAGTACAATGCATGAGTCTTTAAAAAGCCCAGGGAATTTTAACAAATACATATACTTGTTTGACAATCATCCAGATTAAGTTATAGAATATTTCCATCACAGAATGTTCCCTTTCTGTTGCTTTGAGTCATTCACTCATTCTTTCTTGTTATTATGGTAGAGGAAGAGAGTGCTAGAAAGTCTATTGATTTGTATCATTGTAGATTAGTTTTGTCTGTCCTTGAATTCTATATAACTGGAACCATAAATTTGTACTATTTTATGAATGGCTTCTTTTAATCAGTAGTATGTATTGTCAGTTATAGTTCATTCATTCTTTTATTTTTTATTATGTGGTGCTGGCCTTGTCAAGCTAGGCAAGTTTGCTGTCACTGAGCTATATCCCCAGCTCTTGTTGTATCTTCTTGTATCATATTCCTTTGTGTGAATATAAAATAAGTTATTTTAACCTGTTGTTAAGGACATTTAGGTTGTTTTTGGTTACTAGTGAATTGCATTGCTCTATTTTGCTGTATGTTTTTTTTTTTTTTGTGGAAATATGTGGGCAAAATGCATAGAAGGAGCCTTTGTTTAAAGGATATGCTTATGTATATAGATGCTGTCAGTTTTCCAAAGTGATTTAACTGCTTACAATTCCCATAGGTGGGAAATAATCATTCTCCAAATTTTGCTTTCTTGTCTGTACTTAGTGATGTCTTTTATTATGTTTGCTATTCTGGCAGGGTATAGTGGTACCACATTGAGATTTTGTCTTATATTCCATGATAACTACTCACTGACCACCTTCACATACATTTAATGGCCATTAGGATATCCTCTTTTGTGAGGTATCTATATTTTTCTTACTGATTTAAAATTTTTTTACATATTTTAGATGTAAATCTTTTTGTATAGATAGGTACATAATATATGTATATAAAATATTTTCTGTTATGTTTTCCACTTTTAGTTTGCCTTCTAAATTTCTTAATAGTCTTTTACCAATTTAAATTTTGTCCAATGTTTTCTTCTAAAGAATTTATTGATTCATATTTAACCTTCACATTTTAGTCTACAGTTCATTTGGAATTTGTTTTTTTACAAGGTATAAGATTAATTTGGGGGGAGGATCCATCTTTCTCACTTTTACCTACAGAGTTATCTATTATAAATCAGTGACTATATATACACATGTTTCTTAGCCTTTTGTACTTCCATTTAAATATTAGTATAAACTTACGGGTTTCTATAAAGGAATTGGAGGGATTTTGAATGGGATTGCATTAAATTTAATAGATCAGTTGTAGTCACAATAATCTTTTAATTTCTTAAGATGGTATATTCCTCCATTTATTTGGACTTTAGAAGCTTTTTTGCTAATGTTTTGTACATTTCTGTAAAATGTTCCACATATTTAATTTATTCTTAGGTCTTTGATTTAGCTACTATAAATGATGCTACTTTCAAAATTTTATTTTCAAAGCTTTTGTTATTGCATATGCTACAAATACACTTGATTTTTGTGTCTCAATTTGTTTTTCCAGTAATCCTGGTAAATTCATTCATTTGTTAGTCTGAATAATTTTCCTGTGCATGTTTTTGGAATTTCTATGTATGCTATGTAAAAGTCATTTTCCCTTCACCTGTTATACTGGATAGGACCACCAACATAATGTTGAACTGAAATGGTGATAGGATTTCAGAGGGAAAGCTTTGATAGTTCACCATTAAAGTTTTTTCCCCCCAGGCGGGAGGGGGGCGAGGTGTATGTGCACAGAAAGGAAATACTGTTGGGTCATGAAAAGTTCTCATTCATTTGCTGAATTTTTGTTATGAATGCATTTTAATGTTTATCAGATGTCTTCTCTTCTCTACATATATTGAAATTATTCAGTTCTTTTCCCCTCACCCCTGTTAGTGTTAGTGTGGTAGATACCATTGCTTGGTTTTTAGATATTAAACTACTTTTCTGTTACTGGAATATATTCTCTTGGTTGTAATGTATTATCCTTTTAAATGTTATTAGAGTTGATTTGCTAATATTTTGTATTTTTTGTATCTATGTTCATGAGCAATATTGTTCTGCTTTTTAATTTTCCTCTTTTTTGTTTGGTATCAAGCTCATGGTGGCTTCATGAGTTAAGAAGTGTCCCCTGTTTTCCTTCCCTTTGAAATTTGTGTACCACTGATGTTAACTGTTTCCTTAGGTGTTTAAAATAATTTACTAGAATTCAGTCTTCTTTACCTGGAGTTTTCTTTGTGAGAGGGTTTGTTTTTGTTTGTAGTATTATTATTGGTACTAGGGTTTGAACTCTGGCCTTCCTGCT